AAATCCCTAAAAAAGCTGGATACAAACAAAGCAATGGGTCCGGATGGCATTCCCGCAATAGTACTCAAAAATTGCGCCAACGAACTCACATCAACTTTCGCAAAATTATTCAATTTGTCTTACAGGCAAGGAGTATATCCATCATCATGGAAGTCTGCCGCAGTACAACCCATTCCAAAGAAAGGAAAAAAGACAGATCCGTTAAACTATAGACCAATTGCTCTACTTCCGGTGATATCAAAAGTAATGGAAAGAGTTGTGAACAATCACCTAACCAAGTACTTGGAAAAGTACAAAATTATCAACGATAAGCAATACGGATTTCGAAAATATAGGTCAACTGGCGATTTACTTACATACGTCACTCACTTATGGCAAAAAGCGATTGAGTTGCGGGGTGAAACAAGAACAATTGCCTTAGATATATCTAAAGCATTCGACAAAGTTTGGCATGAAAATCTGCTCAACAAGCTCAAAGCAATGGGATTATCGCCGAAACTTTGCACTTGGTTTGAAAGTTACCTAAAGGACAGATCCATTTATGTTGCACTGGATGGCCAGAACTCCAACTCTTACCAAATAAATGCTGGTGTGCCACAGGGAGCAATCCTTTCGCCAACTCTTTTTCTGATTTACATAAATGACCTCATAGATAAAACAGTAAATCCACTTTATTGCTTTGCAGACGATGGCAATGTAGTCTCCTCACTCATACCACCCACAGGTCTTTCCGCACGTGAATTCCATCATCTTAGACTAACTCAAATATCGCAGATAAATAACGACCTGGAGATAATAGAGGACTGGGGTAACAAAAACCTTGTACAGTTCAACGCGCAGAAAACCCAAGCAGCTCTGTTTTCAAAAAAGACCAGCACCGGTGAGCCAAACATCATGCTATCTGGAAGTGCTGTCACATTACAGAGTCAGTTGAACATCTTGGGGGTTACTGCAGAGACCAACATGTCTTGGCACAGTCACGTGGCAGATATTGCTAAAAGGGCGTCCCAAAAGCTGGGGGTGCTATTTCGTACAAGACATCTGTACACACCAAGCCAATTGCTGACACTCTACAAAGCCCAGATTCGACCAACTATGGAGTACTGCTCACATATATGGAGTGCAGCACCCAAACATACCTTAATGCTTTTGAACACCGTGCAAAAACGAGCTATCAAGCTGATCAATGACCCCGCACTTACTCGTAACTTGGATGGTCTCGAACATCGCAGATCTGTGGGCGATTTATCTCTCTTCTACAGGTACTATCACGGAAAATGCTCTGAAGAGTTGGCACGTATGATTCCACCGAGAGTAGCGCCTACCAGGCGAACCCGTCAAACAGACGGTAACCATGAATTTACTGTCAAACTAGAGGCACCAAGAACCTCATTATATCAGAATTCATATCTCTGGAGAACAACATCGCTGTGGAATAAACTCCCTGCGACGGTTTTCCCTGCAGGTTACAACCTGAACCGTTTCAAGACCAACATACACCGACATTTCCGCGCACTTGCCGCTTCTCGAGCGTGATAGGACATTTCCTTGCGAGTGCGCATATCCGTAAAAACAAAAAAAAAAAAAAAAAAAACCGAAATATGCGAGTGTCAACTTTCCTCGTAACACCGTCTGCTAAAGTCATCAATAAACGCTCGGTGTTAAACGGAACGGAGTCATTTAACGATATGCGAGATAATGTAGCACCAGCAACACTGCGTTTCGCAACCGTGTGAACGAATGCACACCCACGATGACCGTTGATCGCGATAGGCATCAGTGACCTTACTCCCAGAGTTTCATCGTCCACGGAATTGAATAAAAACTCGACATCTCGTCCCACGATAACCGTATTGGCATAAGTGTGTTTCGGTTTGTAATTCGGACAGTTACTTTTTATACATATATCCCGGCGCGCCACACCCGTAGCACGTAATACTGGATGCCGAAGGTTCCGGCAGCTTTGCAGGATTCAAAGTCACCGAAGGCGAATTTTGTTTATCAGCAGACTTATTTTTATTTAGTCGCTTACGACATTCGTCAAATGTGTGTCCAGTGTATTTACAAAACGAACAGCGTTTTTTGACTGCACCGGAGTCGTTGTAAGCTGTCGGTTCACTAGAAACGTCAAAAGTCTCTTCTGCTAAGCGCGCATGCGTGAGTAATTCACTAAATGACGCTACTTTATCGCGGGGAACTTTTTCGCGAATTTTACAATACAAAAGTCCGCAAACCATATCAAGCTGGCTTTCTTCCGCACGCATACCGAGAGGCAGCTGTGCTAAGATAGAACGCGCTTTACATACAAAAATGTCTGATTTGGTTCTCAAGTCCTGCTCACGGGCGAACACTTCGCGATACACGCGGTAGGCAGGCTTGGCAGGGCTAAAAGTCGGGCGCAACAAGTCTATAGCCTCCTGCTATGTCGTTAGCGTAGATTTTACACCTTGGTACCACGACGCGGCGAAACCGTCCAAGAGCATTGGAAGATCTTTCAAAGCATTTACGTCCGAAATGTTTGTGCATCTTTTGAAAATCTCGATAGCATCGATGAAGGCTTTAACGTTCGTGTCCGACGAACCGTCAAAACGCGAGTTACACTTCGCAAAATTGCCACTATGAGCTACAGCGGGAGGATTTTGAACATGTTGTGCATTACCAATGGCGAGACGATCCACAAGTTCGCGAAATTGCTCCTGTGTAAGGCTGACGGACGCCATTTTATTCGAACGAAGGTTGTACGAGTGTCCCGAACCTTCCACGATGCAACAATAGCAACACAAAAGAAAATAAAAGGCTACTTACATTTTGGAGGCTTCAAACCAAACAAATCAATAAAGACTACCATAAACGGGGCACTACCTGTGTTTGATGCACAATAGTCAATTACTCGCGACGCCAGTCCGCTTTAAACGCTTAAAGTCAGTATTGTCGCTAATACCAGACGTAACACAGCTGTTCTGGTTGATAACTCAAATACAAAACCGGCAAAAACGTTAGGAAATCAAACGATGTACAAAACAACTTGTATTCATAACGATTTCGACAAAGTTTCGGTGATTATACAACTCACTGTATATTATTCCCGTATGACACGAGAGGCTTAATAAGTGATAAGCCTTTTGGGATTATCGCGCTTGGTGGCAATATTGTTATTAATAATAATAAAAATTAATAAACTATTGAAGTTTAGTTCGTTGTATAACCTTTTGAATACCACTCGATGTTTCAGGATTACCTAATACTTTTACCTGACACTCAACGCGTTACCAGCTGCGTAACGCGTTTCTTGACAGGTAAAAGTATTATCCGGTAATCCTGAAACCTCTTGTGGTATTACATTCGATAATTCACACGCAGTACCTAACGCGGCATAGTTGTACACAATTCGGCTGTTTCTCGGTGATGACTCCCGTACCAAACGAGCACGAAAAACACCATGAGTTTCGTCGAACAACTACACGAAAATCGCGATCGGCACACAATAGTCACTCTACCAGTCTTAAAACTCACCGTGGCCCCACGTTGGGCGCCAATTTGTAAAATAATTCTTAGAGAAGTTGAGTACACGGGAAGAATTAAACGAGAATCGATAGAGAAAACTAGTTACCTACTGTATATTGGTTTTGTATTAACAGAGAAAACAGAATGAAATTTGCGTTATTGCACTATAAACGTTGACATCTCGTTATTGACAGGCCGTGTAGCAGGTTGACAATACGGGGGATCAGCCGATCAGTGGCGTGGGTATTAGAGAGTTTTGTTACAGTAGTTATTTATGGTGCTAGTGTATTATGTTGACTATTTCACTAGAGTGTATTACACCAGCAATAAATTCGGTATTCACCTGACAATAACGCTACCTGGACAATACCAACAACATGGTATTTCAGCGACCATCTTTTGACATTGTCAAACTGGTATTTTTAATTTGAAGTTTTTATTCATAATTTTGCATTCTATTTATTTCAAAATCTTACGTGAAATAGTCATGACGAATACCACTCGAGAAAAAATTGTGTAGGCACAATTGTTCTCAAGGTTTTATTCAAATTTGTTGCTTTTCGGCAATTTCGCTCATGATATTTTTGATAAAATCACTCGCCTGACGGCTCGTGATTTTGTCAAAAATGTCATTCGCGAAATTGCCAAGCAACAAACTTTCATACCTTTCGAAAATTTTGCCGACAAAATTTTTTCTCTTGTGATATTATATATGAAAATAAGTCACGCGAGATAAATTTAAACCACGAAGCCGTCAGGCCGAGTGGTATAATTTCTCGAGTGACTTAGAAAACATAACACACGAGTAGCATACAATGTTTTATCTAATAACTGAGAAATCACAACACACGAGCAGCATACAAGAACTGAAAAAACTAACAGGTATTATTTGGGAATAAGTCTTCTTTAAAGCAGGATTTATAAATTTCATAAGTTATAACACTCTACTGTGTAATTTGATAGTTTACCTTCCTCAATAGGCACAAATAATGACTTTTATAACTAGCAGGTGTTCAAAGAAGACTCATTCCCAAAAAAAAACTGTTAATTTTTCCAGTTCTTGTATGCGGCTCGTGTGTTATGATTTCCCAGTTGGATAAAATATTATATGCTACTCGTGTTATGTTTTCTAAGTCACTCGGCCTGACAGCCTCGTGGTAAATTTTTCTTGCGTGACTTATTTTCAACATAATACACTAGTTAGTACTATAAATATATAACTATATTTCTTTTAAATGATCTAGCAATCTTTCTGTTTAGTGTTGCTTTATAGTTTAGTTATAAATTTTATAGCTAAGCTACAATCAAGGTTTTTTTATGAGATAGTTAATTTGAATTAGGTGTTTTTTGGAAACATACTGCTTAGATTAGATACACTGACGATGTAAATCCTATTACCTGTAAACGCCACATAACTGTATGTATTATAAGAAGTTTTGAAACTTTTGCGGTGTCGACGATCAAAATGTATATAAGTATTTTTTGTTTCTTTTTAGACTTTCAGATTTAAATTCATGTCCCTATAATGGAGAAAGACGCGACAATTGCCATTGTGATATAGTACAGCCAGATAGATCCGGAGTAACCAAGTTTTGGAAAGTAAGACTAAACATTACATCGTTACGAATTATGGGTAACTACAACAAATTTAGAAAATAAGTTCATTAGCTAAATAATTCCTTTTCTAGGTGATGACTTCACTTTTTCAAAACAAGTGAAAGGGATAAGAATACCATACGGTACTTCTGGAGACTGTTATAGTACTCATGCACAAGGTTGTCCCCAGGGGAGGTTTTCAGTGGATTTGACACATACTTCCTTCAAACTGGCCAAATTTATTCGGTGGAAAAACACGGGACAGTACGCGTCAAAAGTCATTTCAAGAACGGTAAATGAATAACACCCAAAAACATAAAACCAAAAATGTTAACTTACTTTTTTTTAGTCTGATACCCTTGTACAAGGTAAATGCGGTGGTTACTGCAGTGAATGTATACCAGATTCCCAATATGGTGGTCTTGCAGTGGAAATAACTTAGACATTCACTCCAAAAAGCCATATTGGCAGAAATGAGATGATTTGGAGGGTCCTACAAGTGAGACGAAGATGAATTTATTTGAACTACTTTCAAGCGAATAGAGAATTGGTGTCAACCGGGTAACCATAGGATTTTTGCCACAGAAATCTCAATGTAAACCTTTTTGATCTCAAAATTTACTGCCGAAAATCATCAAGCATTTTTGCAATAAATACATATTTGTTATGTCATTATTTTTGGAAAAACAAAGTATTAGGTACTACAATATGAATGACGTGACATAAAATTATTTCCAAGAATAACCAAATAAATCAGTATTAAAATTTTCTAGAATAATGGCAAACAAATATTGGTATTTTTTTGTTCATTATTTCTCATTTTCTGGTAAAATTGTCCTTATTTCTCCTCTGGGCTTAAATTCTTTTATGTGTTCTTTTATGTCGTGTATAAATGTGAATAATTTCAGTTTTTGAACAAGTTGAGTAGTGATTTAATTTGCTACATTAGCAATAATTTGAACCATATAAAATTAGTGACACAAAATATTAATTTGTTCAATAATGAAGCTAAGTATTATATTTTTAAGCAAATAACTCGATCTGAAATGAAACGAACATTTAAAGTGCCTTTTGTAATCTGTTCTGTGATTTGATATTTTTTAAATTAACTTTTGTATAGGGTGACCAAATGTAATAATAAAAAAAAAAAGAAGAAAACAAAAATCGAAAATTTTAGCAAATAGAATCTAATTATTATTGGTATTATTTCTATGCAAGTTGGTCTTTCCAAAAAACGGTATTTAATTGTTTAAACTGCCAAATAAAACAATGAAAAAAATCGTAAAAAATCGTACCTATTTACACTTGGGTGCAGAATTAACCCATAAAATGTCTTAAATTTTCTATAATTCCAACACTACTACATGTGCAGAGAGAACAGACATATTTGCTGTGATAGTTGAACTTAAATAACATATAACAAAATAGTAGTGTAAAAAATGAGTTTATTTTGCACCAGAGTGTATATATTAAATGTTTCATGCCTCATATTGAGGCATTAATTTAGTGTTTATTATGAACATAGTAGCTTAGTTTTAGATTGTCAACTCATAAAAAAATCGATGTTATGTAATGTAAGAATTTTCCTGCCATGACAATTGTCTCGAATTTAGTGTTTAGGTATTTTGTTTTGCTGCCATAATTATTTATTTTTGTTTTAATTTTAGGTTATAACAAATAAGTAATATCCACAATCTGATTTAACTTCAAATGTTCAAGAACTAAGCCTTGGGTGGAGGAAATCATATTGTGGACTTTACTTTAATTATTAATTATCTTTTTAGAGATTGTCATTTGATTATATCCCAATTATGTAGTGGGATTGAGATTATCAAATGTCAATGTTCTGAAAGGTTTAATTTTTGCCTTGGAGCCATGTGTACATATTTATTTTTGGTTTCTGTAACCGAACCATTTTTTCTTTAACAAAATATTATCAACAAAAAAATGTTCTATTCAAAGAAAAAATGGCTCCATTCAAAGTTGCCATTACTTTTTATTTTTGTCAACCATGATGTCTAAGAACTAGCAACGTATTAAAGCTCCTGTGATTTTCTTGCCGTGAAACTAAATTGGATTGTGAACTGGCTGAACTGGATTAATTATAGGGTGCAGAAATGATAACGAATGATTACTCCGCACATACAAAAATGTATGGAAAAGTTCCAAAATCAAATAGTGAATCACCCAGTGCAAAGACATAGATTCTACTCTAATACCGTCTGCACTGTTATTACTCAAGATCAGCCAGCTAGAGGTCCATTATGGTTTTTTAACAGGAAAACTGACCTCTGGCGGAAATTTTATTTATTTTGCCAACAAAGGAGAAATACGTTGCTGGCTCTTAGGCCATTCGATTTGCATTTTTAATATTGTAAAGACTGTTGAAAAACTAATGAAAGTGCTAGTTGTATTGATTTTTTGTAGTTTTATTTGCAACAAACCCTTACTGAAATCAATTTCCATTGAAAATAAACAAAATTTTTATTAGTATAAAAAATGTATTTCCATGTAAAACAAACAATATAAAACAAAAACAAAAAAGTAATACCTTATTAGACTTCCTCTAGTAATGGAAATTCGTCATCTCGAGTGGCCAAAGCATCAATATTGTAAAAAGCTGCGTGGAGAGTTATTATAACCATGGAAGCACCTAAAAAAATAAAACAGATGTAAATTAGTTCGAAAGATATTCCAGTTTTCACATTCATTTAAACTAAACACTACTTACCCAGGACCCAAAACATAGCTCCATGAGCCCCAACCCAATAATACACTGGCATAGAACACAAAGATACTAATCCATACTGCTGAGCTAATGTTAGTTCTCTGCCAAACAAGACAAACTTTTTTTGTAAATGCCTTTGGTTCACTTTATATCCAGCATAGAAGGTACATGCTATTGCTAGGAGGATTAGAGGAGAAGTGATTCTGAAAATAAAAAACTTCTGTTTGAATCATTTATATACATTGTTGAAGGACAAGTGTCTCTTGAATAAGATAAATTTCGATCTAAAGATTATTAGAGGCAGAAGACAAAAAAAACAAGTAATTATTATTCTTACAACATACAGCATTTGATGAGATTTTGTGTTTAAGTAAATTATCATTTTAGACCACTCAAACTCCATAAAGTAAATTATTGTAAGATTGAAAAATTGAAAAATTCACCCCACATTACTTAACACGATTTTATTTCTGGAACTATAAGTTTGGTTATTTAAGATTTCGGCTTCAAATTTCAGAATAATTTAGTGTACGGAGTTCAGAAACAACTCCATACTGATTTGGAGGCGAAATCTTTGGTAGCTACCTTAGTACTAAAATGATGAAATTTGAATTTTTTTCATGTTGAGGACTCGGTGATGTCATCTCCATTTTTATAAATGTAGCCCTGTCCAATTGTCTTTACGGAAACGCCACATTTGTTCATATGTTTAAAATTCTTGAAAACCAAGTCGAGTGACCAGATTAAGATTTTCTTGCAAAACTGCAATTTTCCATCAAACTAGGTTTGATCAGTCTACCAAAGAAGTATTTTTGTTTTGTCAAAGAATATATCATAGATCAGGTCATGGATATTAAATGGATAATGATTTTAATACCCTTGCCAGTGATTTGAACTGGAGCCTGCAAGATTTTAAATCATCAGAGTATACTTCAAGGACAGGCCTCGTTTTTGCTTATTGGTCGCAAAATGCTGTGAATCTGTAGTCGACAAAGGTATCGTTCTACAGGGTTGAAATCAGTTTTGCGCTAAATGTCGTAAAAATATTAAAAAGTGAAAATATAAGAAATAAAGCATTTCGCTGGTGTTCATTAACATAGCAACAGTTCAGGGTCTAACACTAGAACAACAAAATTTGTCTATTTTATTTGTGAATGTTCAGTCCATTAGAAATAAGGTAAATGCTAAAGAAGCTTTGGTAAATAGATTGAATCTTCCATGCTATTGTTATAACTGAAACCTGGAACCTGGCTATCTCCAGACGAAGCTGCCCATTTTGGTTTTGATGGGTACGGTACAAATCAATTTATGTTCCATGATCTTTATTTTGGTGGAAGAATGTGTGTAATAATATTATAGGAATCACCCTGTATATTATTCCTGGTACATCGAGAAGAAGTTTTCAATGAGTGATAGTTGCGGTCATTTGGAAGCTGTTTGACCATATCCATCCTTATGAAAAGCTTCGCCGTTTTTTAAGATATCGCCATTTTTAGATATTTTGAATCCATGTATTTTACCACATAACTTGGGGGACATATTTTTTATATCAATCATTCGATTGTTCTTTCCGTATTAGGAATATTGAAAAAAATAACTGGGAAAGGGTAAAGTGGTTACTAGCAACAAAACAATATGTTTCAGGAACAATTCAAATATTTCCCAAAAATATCTATAAATGCTGATATCTCAAAAACGACAAAACTTTGCATAAGGGTAAATATGATCAAACAGCTTCCAAATGACTCCAACTATCACTCATTGAAAACTTCCTATCGATGTACCAAACACCCTGTATAGACCTCCAAACTTTGACTACAATTTATTTTTGCAAACCTGTGATGAAAAATTAAATATTATTGCTAATGAAAAAAAGCCAGCCTGGATATTTGGAGATTTTAATTTTAACCTCAACATTTTAAATTCGAGCCCACAGCAGCAAATACTTCAGCTCACAATGAATGAATGTCAAACGAATAACAGTATACCATCAAGAGTAACTCAGCATTCTCATACCTAAATTGATTATGCATTAACTAATAATAGTAATTATGACTTAAGTTTGTCTCTAATAGACAGTGCAATTTCAGACCACCAACTGCAATACTTGAGTATAAACTTAAAAAGAATAAACGCAAAATGCAATAGCTATACAGTAAATACTTTAAATAAAGAAGCTTTTAAGACAAATTTAGTTGAAATTGAAACCTTAAACTGGTTTGATCCTCGGTTTGATCCCAATTTATTATGTGAAAAATAGATTTTGTTCTAAAAGTTCTCCTTGGTATAATGTGAGACACTTTGAATTGATGAGGAGGCGGGATTTTCACTATCAACGACATAAAATGTTTCCACACAGTGCTTATTTACTTGAACTTTACAAATCAACCTAAAAAGAATATAGAAAATCACTAATTGACTAAAAAAAAAGCTTATTATAATGCTGAAATCAGTGAAGCAGAGAATGATGTTAAACATATATCATAGAACAATAAACACTATAATCAACAACTCAAAACCCAGGAATGACCGCTTGCTACCCACATGGTAACATGAAGGACACACTGTGCAGAACCCACAGGATGTTGCCAACTTGCTAAACCAATACTTTTCCGGAATTGCTGCAGAACTAGCAAAAAAACATCCACCCAATAATGTTTTCCCCTCAACTTCAACCAACTTCTACTGCCTACCTATATAAATCAATGGTAACCTGTGACTACAGAGGAGGTCACTGCAGTTATAAACAAATTAACTGACAGCTTAGGCATTGATACAATCAAGGAATTGAAAAATGAAATATCGCCAACTTTATGTAGGTTGATAAATCTTGTTTTTAATACTGCAACTGTACCAAGTCTGTTTAAAATGGCAAAGGTTGTTCCCTTGTTAAAGGGTGGTGATAGCACAGAACTAAACAACTACAGGCCCATTTCCTTGCTCCCAGCTATGTCTAAGGTATTGGAGACCGGTGTAAATATGAGATTAATCAGTCATTTGAATAGAATAAATTTTTGATATGCGGGTCAATATGGATTCAGGAAACACAGCAATACCTACTCGGTAACTACTACAAACCTAATTGCAAATATTTATGAAAAGATTGATAACAGATATAAGTGTGTACTTGTCTTGCTGGACTTAAGAAAGGCTTTTCATACAGTAGATCACAAAATTCTTGTGGAGGTACTTGAAAAACTGGTATTGGAGGTTCAGCACTACTGTGGTCTTGACTGTGGTTTAGGGAATATCTATCGGGCAGGCTACAGTATGTTGAATGTGAAGGTAACAGAAATTAAATGGAAAACATTGTACACAGATTTCTCCAAGGTTCAATTCTGGGACCGACACTCTTCCTAGTCTACATAAACTCAGTTTACTCACTGTCATACATACCTCTCCAGGGCTCTCTCAATTTATATGCAGTTAATACTTGCATCACTGGCATCCTGGACATTCACTCCCTATATAGACTTCAAATATTCACTCTACAATAAGTCTCGTCTCAGCCAACACAATCCATCACCACAATACTAGACTCAATGAAAACGTAAGAACGTCGGCAATGAACACTACAACCGGCCAACGCAGCATCTTATCAGAAGAAATAAGGTACTACAATCGAATTCCAGAATCTGTTAAAAGATTGAACATAACTTGCTTCAAGTGTAAGTTGAAGCAGCTGATTGATCTTCGATGATTACTTTGGAACTGTACAAGGAAAGACTTTTTCTGCAATTTAGAACTAGAACTAATATATTCATAAATGCAACAACTTCGTGATACAGTACCTACTTGGACTGGCTATTTTCTTCTGTGTGATTTGTATAATTTATAATAATATGGTATATTGTAATAATGTTATATATGATACTGAATGGCCCGCATAGTTTTCCAGCTCAGGGTCTCCAGTTTGAGTACATCCCAAATCTATTGGATGCCAGGAGAAACTAAAAAGCATAATAAGAGTCTTTTCTGAAGTTCCTTGGCCCAGTGGAGAAAAAAATGGATCAAAAATTTGACGAACTGGAAAATGCCGTGCAGTTCATGTCCGACTCTTTTGAGGAACAAAAGCAGAAATTTGAGGGCATAATAACCGAAGTATGGACACTCAGAAAGGAAAATGAATCTATGAAGAATAGAATTCAGATACTAGAGGCTAAATTTGATGAGTTCGTGGTTAAGGAAAGAGAAAATAATATTGTGGTGGATGGAGTGCCAAAACAATCGGATCTGGACTTATGTAAAACTGTAAAGAAAATAGCACAGGGCTTAGGAATGAATTTTGAAGCCAATGATATGGTGGAGAGCTTTAGAATTGGCAGAAGGGATGATGGGCCTATCCTGATTAGATTTGAAAATGTACAAACAAAAAAGGAAATTCTAAGAAGAATTAGACAATAGAAAGCCACAATAGTGATAAAATGTGGACTGGAAGGTCCAGAAAATAAATTCTACTTGAATGAGGACCTACTGATAAACAAACGAAGTATCTTTAAGAAAGTGAGAGATAAAGGATACCGAGCAGCCTTCTGTATGAACAGTACTATATATCTAAAAAAAAACTGATCAGGATGATCTAATAAAAATTAGAATGGAGAGTGATCTTATGTGAATGGAGCTTGTGAAACAGATCTGAAGTGCATTTCAGAATATAAAATTCACGAACTTCAACAGCATTTTGCACGATTACAAGCAATATGAGACAACTGTGTGTGATAATTTGCAGGGAGTTACTTATTTTAATAATGCCGAACAGGATATTAATATTATTCCTGTAAATGTTCGCAGTATAGGTATATAAAAATTTCGACCATTTTTTGTTTTTTTTTAGAGTCATTGGGCAAAAATTTTGATGTTTTAGTGATGTCAGAAACCCACTATATTTACAACCGAAGTGACTTTAATATTCTTAGTTTTAACATTGCTTTTATTGGAAGTTCCTTGAATAAATGGGATGGCTATGCAATATATGTTAAACAAGTCTACCATATGGATACTGAAATTTTGACTGAAGGTAACCTAAAACTCATTAGGATAAAGATGCAGAAGGGCAATCAAATTGTAAATGTTTTTGCTACATATAGATGTTTTGCAATTGTCAAAGATGATTTTATAAATAGTTTACATAATATTTTACAAAGAATAACACATGCGCAACAACATGTATATATTTTCCTAGATAGGGAAGTGTGTGCGACTAATGATTATTTAACAATGATGGTAAGCCATGGGTATGTGAGTATGATCAACAGGCCGACAAGAAAGGCTGAAGACTCAAGATCATGTCTCGATCATTTCTTTATAAAAGTTAACAATAGGAATGTCCAAGGCATGAATGCACTAATAGTGGAGAGTGATTTTACTGACCATGATCCAATCTTGCTCAATATCAGATTAGATAAGTATACAGAAGATAGGAATAATAATAGATTTTTTAAAATAGTGAATCATGATAAACCGAAAATTTTAATGAATAGAGCAACATGGGATGATGTGTTGAACGCCTCGGATGCAAATCAATGTACCTAAAAATATTTCCCTAAAAAGAGTGAATGAGATGATTGAAAGTGTGACCAGAACTGTCAGGGTAAATAATTTAAAAAAATCGAAACCATGGATAACTGGTGGTTTACTGGTATCTATTAGAAATAGGGATCCTTTGAAAAAAGAGGTTGCCAGAAGCAATAACAATACTGCAGTTTTAAACAGGTATAGAGTTTATAGAGATAAGCTATCAAAACTAATTAAGGAAAGCTAAGTATACACATTACAAAACATTAACACAAAAAAACTCAGGTGATCCAAAGAAAGTATGGAAAATCATAAAAGAAGCCACAAACGACCAGGTTTCCACTCGGGTTTCCAGGTTGGAAATAAAGAGCATTAACTGTAATGGGAATGTAATAACAAATGGAAACCAAATTGCCAATGAATTTAATAAGTGTTTCACAAATATCGGAAAAATTGGCTGACAAAATTCTGGCGGGAAAAGCAAGGAGGGTGAGGGAGGAAGAGCATAGGGCAGTGGGTTCTTTTCTACTCGATCCAGTTTCGGAATTAGAATTAGTGAGCCAAATACCGAGCCAAATACATGGTTCAAAAAATGGGGTTAAAGGGGGGAGGATGGCATTTGTTCGAATATATTTAAAGAGTCCAAGGACAATTTGGTAATTCCACTGATGCACATTATCAATGTGATTTTTATATCAGGAGTTTTCCCTGAGGTGTTGAAAAGTGCAATAATTATTCCTTTGCATAAGCAAGGTGACAGAAAATCAATGAATAACTATAGGCCAATTACATTAACGAGTACTGTCAGCAAGATCATTGAAAAATACTTCAGAAATAAACTATTATTTTTTCTTGAGAAAAGTAATTTGTTGCACAAAAATCAATTTGCTTTCAGGGGGAACTCGAGCACAGAGAATGCATTATGTGGACTTACAGAAACAATATTAAAACATTTGGATCAGGGTAAAAGGGTTATGGGGGTATTTTTGGATTTACAGAAAGCATTTGATACTGTGGGACATCAAGTTTTACTTGAAAGGCTGGAAAAAATGGGGGTAAGAGGGATCCCTAATGATGCTGATGATGCAGAAGTAGTTGTCAGTGGAGATGGTTGGGATCTTTGAATATAAAACTACAGGAAGGAGCGTTTTCTATCTGTCACTACAGACAACGAAGGGACGGAAACGGCCATATTGAGCCTCCAAGTTTGGACTCATCATTTGTTTTGGTGGTTCCCCGTGTCCTTATTTAAGTGGATGTTTAATGGATTTTAGCGGTTTTAAGTGATGATAAGTACTGGAATTAGTGAGAAAAGAGTGAGTCATAATATTGACAATCATATTTAAATAAATATACGCCACTGCCAAACCGGAAATACTAGTCGGCCATATGCAACCTCCACATATTTTGGTCGCGCAGATTCGAAGTTATGCTCCTTCCTGTACTTTTATATTCAAAGGTTGGGATAGAGTCAGAAAGAAAGCTGAATTTGTGCTGTCAAAAATAAAAGAATGGTTAGACTATGGCTTGCTATCATTGAATGTAGAGAAAACGAAATTTGTGACTTTCTTTCTTTTGGAGCGTTTATTACCGGATTACCAAAGTATTAAACTTATGTGATTTAACTGGCCAATGAAATTGTAATATGTTTATTGAAGGAATGGATCAACAATTATGAAAAAACATGAAATTGCATAAAAATGGATAATCAAAATCTTGTTGTTTAAAAAGAAAAGGTCTCAGAAAAGGTATTCAACAGAATTAACCTATAGGGAAAGTGGAATCTTAAGCCCGAATCAACTTCACATAAAATCCTTAGTCAGATCTATGACAAAAATGCCAAACTAAAGAGAAGAAATATCTCATAATTTGGGAACTAATGTCTGCCCAGCGACTCTGTGTCTACGGGGCAACGGTAAGGGGAATGCAGTTGTAAAAAAAAATGGCTGATTTCATTCATAAAATAACCAGCTGCGTGCGGAACTTTTTGGAAGTATAGTAACTATAATATTGTATTACAACTCGTACACGAAAATTGACTAGATAGGGAGACGTAAGGTGACGTTAGCCCACTGACAACCGCATGGTTCCCCGTGGTAACGGCAATTCTGCCAAAAACACTACCAATCAGGTTCATCCAGGCTGAATGCTTGCCAAATTGACAAAAGCTGATGGTATCTTTGGAAAATGTTCATTTTTTATATTAAACAAAATTGAAGAAATCAGTTATTAAAATAAGAATAGATCTAACAACCACATTAGAATCTTTAGCATTTCATTATTGTTATCTATATTTTGTTATTAAAAAATGGTTTTCACATGAACTATACTTCATGCCTAGTATTTTTGCTTTTTTATAATTAAACGTGGCGACATCCCACATTTACGTCCGAATTCCTTCCGTAGACTCAGAACCGCTGGGCAGACAATAGAAGTGCAGCTAAGAATAATTTGGTGCTGCAAAACCCCAGGCATAATGTCAGAATCATATTTTTTATATGGATCCGAAGATATACTGTAGTCTATTAATGCGGTTAAGAGCAAGACGATATAATAGGATTAAAAAGGAAATTAAGGACTGGATTCTGGAGAGTAATATTAGTATTAATTTTGTTATTTAAAAATGGGATAAATCGAGGGATAGATTAAAGGTGATAGGATTTATTCTTTTGTTTTGGATTATATAGGTAAGTAGGTATGTATATTTTTTTTTTTGTGGATTATAGAATCTAGACTTAGAATATAGACTTTTGAAATCGCTTTTGCATGATTATTTGATTTATAATTGAATATGTACATATACCTTGAATATATTGTAGTAGTAATGTAAGGGGTACACCAAGGGGTGCACACACAGTATTTTGAATACCATTGCGCACCTAAGACATTGGCAATTAGTATTAGTATTAGTATTGATATAAATAAATATATAAATAAATAAATAAACAAATAAATTGTTTAACTATCATGTGGAAATAAAGGAAGAAAATATATATATATATATATATATTACTTAGGTATATGTCTATGGATATAACAGTTTTCAGTGACAAATGGCTTGGAAATCCAGGTATTTCTTGGTTTCTATAATATTTGATGAAACATTCAGTGATTAATATTTTTGTTATTACATTTGCATTTCATTCTTGAAACTGAATGGCCAAACGCTCGGCCAAACGGCATTATTTAGGTTTTCAATGTTGTCAATTTACTTCTAAAAAACCTTTAAATAAAATGATAAATAGCTGAATTTTCTCCCATCCCTTCTTCCCGTTACATCTAATTTATCAAGTAAGTTAGTACTTTAAATTCACTTACAGGCAATATATAATCAATCCTAAGAAAACGTACAAATAATTAGCTTGAAAATATTCAATGTTCCTCATTATCCTCTTGCTCAATCTCGGTATTGAGGCTGGCGCCTTAAAATTGGAGGTTTGTACAAATACCAGCCATGGTCTGACATTTTGTCTTTGCTGTTGAATCCATTCTTTAGGGTCTGGTATTTCAGTTGGCAGCTGAAGAAGTCTATCAAGAAAAAAGAATTGATATAAATTTTGGGGTAATTTGTGTGGGTGTTTATTAATATAGGTCACCTGGTAAACAGAGGATTTTTGGGTAGTTCGGACGGGGTTTCCATCTGCCCTGATATGTCCACGGATACATCAGCCATTCTAGTAAAAGAATATGCGGATTTTGAACTAAATCAATTAAAAACTCTTAAATTTCGATAAAAATTGGAATTATTTATGGGCGAGTAGGCGACGTGTAAATTTTGTTTATTTTCATTTTTGATATTTGTTTCTCAAAATCAGCTGACAGTTCTTCACCTCTGGGTGCGTTCTGTCATCTCTCAGTTGTGAACTTGGAACATGTTCGAATCAAATTAAATGGAACCGAACCAATCTATTGGTGATGTTCGATCTGGATCTGAATTCAACAAGGTTGGCACTGTTCTGGAACCATTTTAGGATTGAACATCGGCTGGATTGCCGGAACAATTTTTTTAATAGTTTGTTATGCATTTTTTTATCTCAATATGTTTAGTCGGTGTGGTGTTTCCGCAGACTCGAAACTTCTGCTTCGTGGCGACTACCGAAATAACTGTCCTGAAGTTGTTCTAGAACTGTAATACCATTGGTTAGAACACAAACAGAATCGATCCTCGAACGATAACTTTCAAGATTGGAGCACGTTCGGTAGTGCGCGGGACTGAAATCTGAAATCGTTCCTGAATGGGTTTTGGCGAGTTTGGACCTCGAATAAAAAAAAACAGATTTTATTTTGCACTTAGTTCGAGTTAGTGCAACATCAAAACTTTCGACTCTTGCTCTAGGGCAAGCATTTAAAAATTTGGAATATTTTTTCAGTGGCGTACTCCTTGATCTTTCTATCTTTGTTCAGAAAGGAAAATTAAAAGAGAGGGAAATATGGCCGGTGTGCAACTGACGTTATTGTGAACGCAACCCTAATCTTTGGTAAAATTACCCCGGGTTGTGGTGGAACTGTGGGTGGAATCAATCATCGTGAAAACGCCCTTGGATTTTGTGACTGTGAGGTTCTAGGGGATTCCCCCAACTGTTTTTTGGGTCGTGTGTTGTCACGTTGTGTTGAGTGTGTGGTTCCGGGAACTCAGATATATATTTTATTTTCTGATTTAAATTATCTAAAAATAGCCTTTATAATTTAATAGGATATTGTCAGGGATATTGTTTCATTCCAGTTATCCCGTGGGAAGTTTCACGCCATAATTTGGTAAGTGCTAACACACCACACTATATTTTTAACCTTTCCTTCCTTATCATTTCAAAACCAACAATAAAATTTTTTTGCAACATCTGCAATAATTATTTATTCAAAAAGTCTCAAGTTAATACTGAAGTAAAGCAACTCTATGGCAAACTGAATATTTCTAATAATAAAATCTAATATTAGATTCATACTCATTTGCCTGATTCTATATTCTAAAAATACCTGAATTTTAGCAGTTTTGTTTCTACAATATCAGTCAACGTAATACACTGTATGAGATATGAGTTTCGGTTTTATATCTTTTTAAATCATTATCGTAGAGATTGCACAAGTGCATTTCAATTAAACCTGTTATTTTATATCAGTATCGATTTGTGGCTTTTTTATTCGACAAAATAATATAAGTACTATTATAAACCGGTCTTTGTTTCTCTGTTATAGTGTCAAAATGGATAACAATGTGGAGAAAGAAATGTGCAACAATTGGTAAGTACCTTTTATTTAATTCTACTGTGGCACTAAAATTCTTTATTCTGTTAGTAAAAAAGAAATTCCTCAACCAAATTATGTTATGCACACAATGCACTGTGCAAGAAACATTACCTTGTGCAAAGTGTGCAATGAACCTATTCCCAAAATGGAATATGAATCACATAGAGAGAAGTGCAGAAAACCAGTGATGAAGAAACCTACCCCACCCCCTACAACAATTGAAAATAGTTCTTATTTTCAACAAAGAAAGGTACAAATCTTGCAAATTGCTTATATAGTAGGTATACAGTTTAATAATTCTTGTTAGGCAGTAGAAGACAAAAAAGCAGCCATCCGTCGTGAAACCTATTTGAAAAAACACGAACATCTTGTTGACAATGGCTTTACTTTGAATGAAACTATAAGAAACGGCTATGGAAAGACTTCATCTAAGTACAGCAGCAACTCTAGCTCATCTGGAAGTATTTCTTCAAGCTCCAGCAACAGTAGAGTGTCTTCAGTTGCTGATAATAGCAGCAGCAAAAAAATTACCAATCAGTCTAGCGGAGCTGTCAAGAAACCTGCATTAATACCAAGACTAGATGGGGGAAGTGGTATCAAATCAAAAGGATCTGATGGTATGATCAAGTTTGATATGTACACAGGGTCTGTCAACAAGGGCCTCAATTTTGACTTAATCTGTATATTTGTAGAAAACAAAAACAGCAATTTGATGTAACTTTTTCCAAAAAATTCAAAAATGTTATTCTTAACATAATTTAATCTTAAACAAAAGAGGGGTTTTTAAATGGGATACCCGATTTTTTATTTTTTACAGGGTGTAAAAAAAATAGTGTACGGGACTTTGAGGGGTGATCCTACATATTATGAAAATAAAAAAAAAAGTTCCTATGCCCTAAGATACTCCCTGAAGAAGTTACAGCCCTTCAAACGGTAGATGAAAATAATAGATGTTATTTATTTTCAAGAACAGTGGCAAACTATTTTCCTTGAAATTTGGTATTCTTGCATACATTTCGGTGTGGAAGCGAATGGTGATAAAGGAAAAAGTCGTAACAGTTCTAAAAGGGTAGCTTCCATAAGGGTAGAGGGTAGTTACACAGCTTGTGGCTCGGCTTGTAGTTACTCACAAAACAAAGAAGAATCTTAGGGCATATGTTCATAAGAATTTTTTTTCTTATTTTTATATGTAGGGTCAACCCTTGAAGTCTGGTACATTATTTTTTTACACCTTGTATTTGAAAAGCCAGCATTTTTTATACGGGGTGTCACGAAAGGTTTATTACAAACTTCTAGGGATGATAAATCTCGTGATAATTAAGCTTTTTTCTCAATAAACATATGTCTGGAAATGCTTGGTTTTCCAGATACAGGGTGTCAAACTAAAAAAAAGTCAATTTTATTATTAATTCTAAGAAATGCGTGCGTTTTAGAAAAAAAATGTGTTATTTTTTTTTTATTTTTGAGCAACAAATAGGCTGGTAAAATTTCAGGTAATTCTGGGGCAATTTATTTTTTATTTATGTAGGTCAGCGACGTTCGTGGTTCTCCTAAATTAGTTTTTAGATTTTATCTCGAAAACAAAGCAGCATACGGAAAAAAATTAAGAGACAAAAAAGGTGTATCTTTGAATGTTTTATTCAAAAAACATATCCTAATTAGAAATAAATCCACTTGGCGATGTTGTTTGTGCAAAAAACCATCCGACATGACCTGTGGGCACGCTCCTGAAATTACTGGGTCAACTCTGCGCAGTTCAAAAAATACCCCATGGGGGTGTCAACAAACTGTGAAATTATCATTCAATTCGTCCAACGCATTTCTAATGCCGGTTTTCCACCAAACCGACAATACAAAAACAAAACTTAAACTCCGACAAAACCCAACTTTTCCCAAACATTTTCAAGATTAGCGTGTTTTGCGACAAGTGGAGTTTTGTTTTTCGGGTTAATTTCGAGTTAATTTCGAGTTTTAAAACACAAACTCAACAGTCCGTTTGGTGGAAAATCGGCATATGTATTATTAAAAAAATTACATTTTTTTTTACAAATTTTAACACCCTGTATCTGGACAGCGAAGCTTTTCCGGAGATATGTTTATTTAAAAAAAAAAGCTTAATTTTTAAGAGATCCCTAGAAGTTTGTAACAAACCTTTCGTGACACCCGGTATATGCTATAATATACATATATTTTTTCTATAATTTGACTCTTTGGACTCTCTAATTTTGCTTTCAAGTCTGTTAATTATATTTGCATTATTTATCAAAGATTATTGTTTCTTTGCTGGTATAGGTACTACATTTTCATCAAGGTGAACCCAGTGAAACTAATCACTAATCTAAATCTGATAGCTCCAACGGCAGTTCTTCTAATAGATTCTCAATGTGGTATTGAAGAAAGTAGATGTATCTTAAGCCATTTGATGTTCCATTATAAAATATTGGCTCTATAAAAATTTACTTAGATGCATCATGGTCGTGATCTTGTTTCTTGTTGCATATAATTTGAGAAACAAATCTGAATTGGGATTCTTTCTGTGCGGGTGTTTTGAACTCTAGCGGTAACTGAATTAGTAGGATTATGTGTAAAATAATTACCTACGAGCGTGCGGTAAAGTGTACTTTACTGCACGTATTTGCAAATGGAAAGTAGCACTTTACCGCACACTATGCGGTAAAGTCAACTTTACAGCATAGTGTGCGGTAAAGTTAACTTTACAGCATAGTATGCGGTAAAGTGGACTTCAAAGTGTGCGGTAAAGTGCACTTTACCGCATAGTTGCGGTAAAGTAGAATTTGATATTTATAATCAAAAATCCTTTTTTTTTCCAGAAAATGGATTTTTGATAATTTCTAAATCTAATCTTATTTCATTAATTAATCTGATTCAATAATTAATTTTATCAATGCACTTTTTTGGAGATGTAGATGCTCATAGGTAAAATTTTGTACCTAACACATGCGCAAAGTGCCTTTACCGCCCTTAACGGCTTGACCGAACTCCGCTTCGCGTCGTTCGGTCAACAACATTGCGTGTGGTAAAGTATCACTTTCCGCATTTGTTAGGTAAATAACTATTACAATAGCCTGTTCCCGATTGCTTCTTTTATCACTCAAAGATTTACAGCTGTATTCAACATCCCCTTATAAAATCACTTTCAGGTAATCATGTCATTTGTCCAATAGCAGGCGGTAAAACCGACAAAGTTATTGCAGCGTTTAAAAATCTGTTTTTCTTGTATGTGTATTGAAATATGTTTATGCACTGCAGTGTATCATTTTAACTGCACTATTCTCGAGTTCTTTGTATTGGTATTTTGTAACTCGTCTTCGCATTTCCTCTAAAACTTCTATATCTCTGACATAGTAGAAATTTCACACTGAGAAAGCGTATTCAAGTTCTGGTCGTATGTTACTTTTTTACAATTTGCCTATCATTTCTATCGCGTGTTCTCCAATTTCAGGTCTAAAGTTATCATGACTCCTAGGTCATTTTGATTGTTGTGTCACTCTGTATAGTTCGTATTCTTTGTTTAAACTGATTCTTAGGACTGTACAGTGTGGTCATTTTATCTTGATAACATTTTAAACTGCCATAATTTCTTTATTTTTAAAGTTATTCAAATAAATAAAAAATCATACTGTAGGGTTGCTTTACAAGTTTTAGATAGGGTGGACAAAAAACAAAAGACTAATATATTTTGACAGTTATGTGCACAAATAACATTTTCTTGAATGGAACACCCACTAAAGTTTCGGTTTGTTTGATAATATGTTTTATACTGATTGCAATGTATACAATACGATACACTGGAATACAATTCACTTTATATTTACATGCAGAAATGTTTTATTTATTCTAACTAAAAATATTGATTACCTACACAGATTACCTGCAAAGGTAGGTAGGTAGACAGAATTTCCCCTTAGAATAAATAAAACATTTCTGCATGTAAATATGAAGTTAATTGTATTCAATTGTATTGTACCTATTGTATATAGTGCAATCAGAATGAAACATATTATCAAACAAACTAAAAATTTACTGGGTGTTCCATTTGAAAAAATGCTACTTGTGTGCATAACTGTCAAAATATTTTAGTCTTTTGTTTTTTGTCCACTCTATCTAAAACTTGGAGAACAACCCTACAGTATGTTTTTTTATTTATTTAAAAAACTTCAAAAATAAAAAAATTATGACAGTTTGAAATGTTATCAAGATAAAATGACCACCCTGTACATTTGGATTCATTTAACTTCATTCCTCAATCTGTAGACCATTCTTTAACAGTTTTTAGGTTAGCCCTCACCTGCCCTCCATGTTGTAGGGTAAGTTTCTCATTTTAGATTGAATGAGACTGATGAAATCAAACAAATATGATGTCAAAAGCAAAGGGCCCATGACCGAACCCTTGACAACTTCGCTACTAACAAGATGTTGATTTGACAGCACACCATTTACTTAAACTTGATAAAATTTCTCATGCAGTAGGCCCTCTATTACTGCAACAAGTTTACTTCTCACTCCCAAGTGTTTCCAACTTTCCTTAAAGTAGATTATGTGGGACTTTGTTGAATAACTTCTCATAATCGAGATAGATTACATCTGTGGGTTAGGAATTATCATGGTTTTCTGTCCAGTCTTGAAGACATTCATTTAAATTTGTTGTAGAACTTTTAAAGAGAAATCCGTGTTATGAGATTTTTTCAAAGAAAAACGCTCTCAGTTCTTTTACAATTATTCTTTTCTTCCATGCATTTTAGTGTATTGCATGTTAGACTAATAGGCCTATAGGTTTCTAGTCTATGTCGATCACCCTTTTTGAATAGAAGAGTCATTATCGATTTTTTCCATTGCTATGGAATTTTTCCAAGTGGTAAGCACTCCTGCATAGCCTTAGCTAGTCCATATACTAATCGATTCGCCACAGGTCTGCAGTATCGTAGGTATTACATCTGGGCCTGGACTGGACTCTTTTTCAGGGCTTCGTTGACTTTTTCTTCATTAAAAGTTACTTATTCAAAAGACTTTTCAACCGTCGTATGGGTGGGTAAAACAGGAAGAGTTAGGTTCTGCTGAGTGAAGGCTGAGGTGAGATCGTTTCTAACTTTGAAAGCGATATGAGTCAAGTATACGAATTTTTAAATGTTCTTTTAACAAAATTGATATTGTAACATACGTGAAAAAATGGCCGCTTTTCAAATATGAGATAAAAAATTGGGTATCCCATTTTGTTTGAGGTTCAATTGTTTTCCAAGTAACATTTTAAAACTCTACGGGAAAAGTTACAGATAGAACTGCTATTATTGCTCCAAAAATACAGGGAGAGTCAAAATCAAGGTCCTGTTTGTTCCTCGTTTGGCGGACCCTGTAGAGTAATTTTAAATTTTTGAATAATTTCATAGGACTTCTACCATGTAAATTCTGCGACTTGGAGCTGCCAAAGCTAGAACTGGAAGAACATGAGAATTATTGCGGCAGCAGAACTGATAAGTGCTTGGATTGCGGAGAATTGGTCATGTTCAAGAACAAGCAAGTGCATTTGGATTCTAATCACGGATTTGTCAAGTTGACAGACGGTAAGTACCAGTTTCACTATCACTATACAGGTTGTATATAGGCAAGTGTTTATTAGTGGCAACTTAATTCTTTTACTAAAATTGCACAATCTATAAACACTTGAGTTTTTTGAAATTTATTTTGAATCACTTGAAAGTGTGATGATAAGTTTCCTGATACAATCTTTTAGTTATAGGATTATGTGAGACTCTTACATTGCTATATTGTACAAAATTTATGTTCATCTGATTTGATTAAGTTTGTGCCAATTCGAAATTAGTTTGGATCTCTTGCCAAGTTTTTCAATTTAATGAGTGTAAATTAGGCAAACATCACTAAAAAATTTAAAAACTAATATTGATAATTTTATGATTTCTTTTGTAAATGAATACAAAGCATTTCACATTTGTCTTTAAATATCCTAAAACAATGTATTCATGTAGGTATTTTAATTTTCAAGGAAGTGTTTCCATTGTTATTGGGATTTTTCAGCCCACGTTGCTCTCATCGTCTGGCGTAGCGTTTGTCCTAATTACGATTAAGAGACGTAGGTACCTACACCATGATCAGTCACCTCGTGAGTTATTTTTAGGTACTCCTATACTACTGTACTATAGATCTCGTATTTTATATACGCTTTTCCTGGAAGTGTTCACAAGGATATAAAAAACTGCCAGTCATCCTCAATAACACAGTTTTTTAGTGTAATTGTTTATGGTTGGTTTGACCCCTATCTTTGGCGATTTTACTGCTTAATAAACCTTGTTTTGAATGTTACAAACCATCTGAACTTTAGTGTTAAATGTGTTTAAATTTTAATGATGAAATTTTCCGGACTTTCGTTTCGTTTTCGAAATATTTCATGAGGTGAATACTTTTTCTTCCTTGGTCATTCTTCTTAACATTTTCAATTTCAGTACACTATTTCTAATAAAAGTACACGTTTGGTTCCTCCATTTTATAAATGCAAAGCAATGTAAGAGACAAGAAGGAACAACGACCGACAATCTCGTGGGCACATCGGACACAAACGCATTTGTCGCGCTTTTTCAACAGTGCGTGCGTTTGTCATATCGCACGCATAACTCGAATCGTATTCACACTGGACATAGCGTAAATCTAAATATGACATAATTAACAGAGGAAAAATCAACTTAATTGATAAGCAATGACTTTCTACACAGACTGAGCAATGTGTTAATTATATCTATATCTAATTTATTAACAGCATTTATATACCTATTCAAAGGACTATTATTTCCATAAGTGGTTCTGTGGTAAGGTACATTGGTGTCGTACACTCTGATAATATAGCACTCTGAGTTGGATCTGACTTAAGAGAACAGGATAATTTATTAGAACATTGATAATCTCGAAAACAAGAATACAAGTACTTATCCCAAACACACAAACTCTCAAGAACCTATGTTGAACTCGCTCTAATGTTTCGGAATGAATTTAGAAAAATGGTCACCAGACAAACGAACAATATTCCAATATTGACCAGACCAAAGAGCAGTAGACCATTTTTGTAGCATCAAAAGAAAAGTATTTGCAATTTCTCATTGTAAAGCCCAACACTTTAGCACCCTTAACAGAAACATTATTGATGTGTTCCACGAATGTCAACTTTTCATCAAATATGACTCCTAAGTCTTTAACAGATGTAACACATGCTAATAACTGATCATTGATATGATCGGATATGATAGACTGATGGAAATCCTTCAGCTTTGCGAGTTGAACTCATAAAGTGACATTTGCTGACATCCAAAAATAATTTATTTCTTGCACACCAATCTGAAAGGCGGTCTAGCTCTACTTGCAGAAGTTTTTGGTCACCATACTTTCAACGATTCTCCACAGTTTAAGGTCATCTGCGAATGCAGCACACTTACTATTAATAAAGCAGTCTGGTATATCATTAATAAAAATGTTGAATAAATGTGGTGAACAATGACCTCCTTGAGGGACTCCTGATGAAACCGAAATGGATCCTGAGTAAAAACACCCTATCTTAACATGCTGAGTGCGATTTGTCAGAAAACTTTCAAACACAATGATAAAACTAAACTAAAATTGAAGCCCAAGTGTTGAAGCTTTTGTAATAGAATCTTGTGATCAACTCGATCGGAAGCTTTTGAAAAGTCCGTATATATGGCGTCTGTTCGTGTTCTGCTTTCCATGTTCTCTAAGGAGGTCTGACTGGTAAATTAATAGATTTGTAGCAGTGGACTTGTTTTGTAAGAAATTATGTTGCCATCCATGTCAATTGCTTACCTACAAGACAGTCGAACAGCTTAGGAATACCAGATTGCACACAGACGCTTCTATAATTTTCTGTTATCTTTTTCACCACTTTTGAAGATGGGCACAATATTACTAACCTTCTAGATTTCAGGATAAATGAATGATTGGAGTGATTTATTGTATAAAATTTGCAAAAGTGACACGATGGTGCATACACATTGTTTTAATACAAATTCTGTTATACCATCAGGACCAGAAGTCAGTTTATTTGGAAGTTCAAAGATTGCATATTGAAGATGTCAATCTTTGAGATCTCATAGCACTGTATGTTATTACTTATATTATTGGCACGAGTATCGGGTGTTAGGTGTTGCAAATGTTGATTTTTTGAGTAAACTGTTTGAAAGAATTCTTTAAATAGGTTAGCTATATCTTGACCATTAGATGCTGACTGATTTCCATATGACAAAGTACTCGGCAAATTACGACATGATCTTTTGTCATTAATATACCTCAAAAAGATTTTGGGTCGTCTCTGAGATTTAAATCCAAACCTCTGATATAATTTTGAAAGCTCATGTCAGAAAGTTTTTTGCAGTCTGAATGTAACCAAGAAAATCTAAGATAATTAGCACTAGTTCGGTCTTTGATAGAAATAGAGTGAGCTTGCTTTTTTTGGAGTGTCAAATTACGAAGATCAGCAGAAAACCATTTGGGAAAAGAAGAAGTTTTGTACTTTTTGAGAGGAATAAAATAAGCTATGCCAGTGGATAAAATATCATAAAAAATATCGGCTGCTACATAGACAGTAATGCTGTTGGTACCCATGCAGTCATCCCAATCTATTGATGATAAATAATTGTTCAGTTCCCTGAAATCACCATTTTTGAAAAAATAGTAGAATTTATTGTAAATTAAACAATCTGGTTCAACCTCTTTAGATACTGAAATTGTACATTCATAGCTAATATGACGCATACTCGACTTTATAAGTTGGTCACTAGCCTCTGTAACATTCAACTCACTTACATTTGAAAATACTAAATCTAAAAAACATTTCTTTCATTTGGTATTGCATTATGTTGAAATAATTTCAAGTAACTAAAAAACTGGGCCACATCTATAGGTATATCAGCGCCAGGACATTGCACAGTCATCCCATACTCATCATTTGACCAGACTTGTACTGGCTAGGTTGTAGTTATCGAACATATACACATTTTTTGTTGGGTATTTTTGACATATGTGTTCGACTGACTGACAATGCCAGTTGTATTTCTCCCGAGAATGTTGAGGAGGGATGTAGACACCACCTATTATACATTTACTTCAGTTAATTTCACACTCTACAAAACATTGCTCAACTCGGTTTTCTTTAATCCTGATACACTGAGCTCCTATTTTATTCTTGACAAATATTAAGACGCCACCCCTATTGGATATTCTGCTAGTCATTGCATCTCTGTCAGTTCTGAATATGCTGAATCTATCACATTTGATTTCGCTGTCTGAGAATAAGAATAAGAATAAGAATAAGAATAATTTATTCAATAAATACTATTCTACTACAATTTTATTTTATTTTTATTTTTTTCTACTTAATAAAAAATGAATAAATTAAAATGCCGGCTAAAGTTTATTTAAATAAAGCTTGTGCGGCAAGAGAATGAGAATTCATTATTCAGGTTATTCTCGACCAAGAAAATAATATCATACATACAGCAAGCCAGAGTTTTAATAAGATCTAAGATCTGAAACTTTGGTCCTCATACCACCTACATTTTGAAAATAGACCTGTAATGGGGTAGTTACATGTTTTTTGTTGTTGTCTTGTTTCTACGACAGATAGGCCATTGCGGTATCTCATTATCAAGGTATCTTCACCTGCAGCCTTTCTACTATCCAGCAATGTCTTTGCTTTCCTATAGGCATCCTGCTGCATTGGTGTTTGATCCCTTGAAATTTGGTATGTGGACCTAATCAGCTTATTAACTGATTTGATTACCAATTTGACAGTATCAGTTGAACCACTACTTTCACAGGTCTTCCTTAATTGGTAGTGTTACTTTTCAATTTTCCCACATGTAAAACTTTCTGGATCAAAGAAAATTTCCCTTGTATACCTAGCTTCTCCGGAGACTTTGGTTTTGTCATAGCTGATGTGTTCTTCGAAATTCAACGAGTTGAATTCTGGTTAGTTAAGATAGTGTCCGAACAATAAAAACAATTCCTTTATTTAGGTCCTAGGTAGCTAAAATAGTATTAATTTTTTCTTGCACTGATATTAATCTTCTTCATAAAATTATGTATAAAATTTTAGTAGGAATCCGAAAAATATAGGTGTCAAAAAAATACATATAAAGTCCCAAAACAAGATCGTTACATCATTCTCTACTAAAGCCTATTTTCTTAGAGATTCTCTTAGAACAAATTATTAAGATTCTTTTTTCTTTTCTTTCCATTTGAATCGAGTCTCTGGTTTTTTTTGTCTTTTCTCATAAATATCTAAATTTGATTTTTGTGTTTAAATGCTGAAATATTTGTGAAAGGCTTTCCTTTTCAAAAGTTAAATAACTCGTAATAATTTTTAGCTTTCTGTGCCGATTATCAATTTATATTATATTCAAATGCGTAGTATTCTTACTAGCAAGTTGCCAAAATTTTAACTGCGCTGACACGTTTTTTGAAAAATCTGCGTTTTCAATTTTACCTTCAATTTCTACAATAAAATTTGACCTTTTTGGCGGCCATACTATATGTAGGGATCTATTAAAAAAAAAGTGTGCGCTTACCTTAAAAACTATTTGCCACGGTCTTGACCTTGCTCTTAATTTTTATTTTTGGAGGTGCCAAAAAATCTTGAACTACAATAATTAGATTTTTAAAGGACTCGTTTATTTTAGGCATTGAAATTTGTAATTTATTGAAAAGAAAATGCAATTTCTTGTAGAGCCTGGTCCAAAAGCGTCCTGGGACTCGACCACTCATCGCACTCCAGATTTGAGCGGACGAGCTTCTCCCATCCGACGTCGCGTTGAAAGATTGAGATTGGGCGACGTCGACTATGATCCCATGCCTTATTTACCAGCGGCTTACCAACCTGGAGGAGGACTTAAGAAAAACAAAGAAGGAGAGAGTTACAAGGAGATTTCTAGGAGATTAGATTGTAAGTAGATCATAGTAGATTAGATTGTTTAATTTTCTGGAAAATATTTATTTAGCGTTTTCTTCTTCATATAGGTAAAACTGAATACATTAGGAATCTTCTACATGATTCTGCTAGCATTACTATACCTTTAAGATCTAGTGGTAGTGCACCTAGGAACCATTTCAACCATAATAAAGGTTACTGTCTTATTGTGTGTCCTGTGCAGTTTATATAAAACTAACTCGAAACTAACTATCTTTTTATTTTTTCTGTTTCTTACTAATACATATTTACTAAACTATCAAGAAGATAAAGTCTATTTTGAACTGTCTCAGTAAAATAATAATTAATGTGTCTGTTTTGGTGTTTATGAAGTTGAATAGTATTATTACTCAACAAACAATATTAAATAAATTCCAATACTAAAAAGAACTTAATTGGCCATACACCTATGTAATAAGAGCAAATGCATCAAACAAGTTGGAAGATATCCAAAACAACGAATAAATGAACAAAGGAACAATAAAAAAGCGGCATATCCTGGAAAGTCAAATTCAACAACAGTCGTGAATTGTAATGGCATAAATTAGAAACTAGACAAAAGATGAACAAGATATAAAAATAGTTAAGACATTAACTTGAAAACAAAAAACAACTCATTGTTTATCCTCGGATACTTCTACCACATTTCTGGAGTTACGCTATAACAAACAAAATAAGCGACTATTATTTGGATCGTTTACTGTGGAAACTTGCCAGCAAGATTTGTAAACCTATAAATTTCAATTAATATTTGAAAAAAATTGTGTGCTACATTTAAACATTCTATGGTCTTCAAATTATTTTAAAATTATATATTTATTAGGCCCAGCACCTCAACCTCCAAGATATCGCCGCAACCCTCCAACTGAATTGATAATCCCTTGTGAATTTTGTGACACACCAATTCCACACGAGGACTTGATTGAACATGAAACCGGATGTAGACCTGACCTGGCTAGATACAACCCTCGTAGAAACAAGTAAGTAAATTCAAATTTATCATATTGTGAATCCCCATACAGATTTATAAAGGCCGGGGTGTCGAAACCACACCATTAAACACGCAACGGTACTAAATTATTTGTTCAAGAAAAATACTACTTTGACTTTTTGCTTCTTCAGAAGTGTCCGACTCTTGTGATCATTTTTAAACGAACCAACTACTGGTTCCGTCGATCAAATTGAAATTATAATTAGCAAAGACTAAATAATAATATGATGTTAAGATAACATATATGTAACTCCAAGATGTGATTAGTTATAATAGCTAAATAAACGATTACAACAACAACAACAACTAAACAGGGTCGTAATAGATTATTCTTCTCAGATCTAAATTCAATTTTGTGTCCGCCCTGTCACGGTCTTGCTAGCCTAATACCATATAACATATAGTGATGACTTACATCACGGCTTTTTTACTGATAACGTTTGAAAAGCAATTTGGTGTGTTCATATCTATCCATTTTCTTTCTTTGTTATCGCCGCTACTTTCCTTAGAATTGCATTGTTTTTGTATTTGGCCTTTATTCCAAATTTCTATATGTTCACTAAAACAACTTGCAAAAAAACAGACATTGTGAGGGAGGTGACCCAAATGCTCCAGTTAATTTTAGGCCTATTTCTTTGCTCCCAACACTCTCGAAAATTGTGGAAAGAATTGTGAAAAAGCAAATGATAAGTTTTTTAGAAGCCCATAACATCATAAATCAGTCACAATTTGGTTTTCAGGCTAAAAAATCCACAAATGATGCCATCTTTTCTCTGATGCAGGAACTATACATTCAACTCAATTATGGAGAGATTGCTGCAGCGGTATTCTGCGATGTAACCAAAGCTTTCGATTGTGTTGACCATGGAGTACTGCTTGGCAAGCTCGAAGTTTTTGGTTTTAGGGGAGTTGTCTTGGATTGGATTGGGTCGTATTTGTCAGATCGTCATCAGTCTGTCATTTTCGATAATAGCACTTCATCAAGTTTAGCCATAACTTCTGGAGTACCACAGGGATCCGTCCTCGGGCCTTTGTTATTCCTAATATATATAAACGATTTAGCAACTTTGGAAATATCTGGTTCCTTTACCATGTTTGCTGATGATGCTACGATCTTGTGGCACTCAAGAGACCCGAATGAATTGGCAAATTATGTAAGTGAGGATCTGGGTAAAATAAAAGATTGGTGCGATTCAAATTTCCTAACTCTGAATGTCTCCAAGACAAATGTTTTATGCTTTAAGTGTCACTTAGAGGGGGTGCTGTTGAATAGGGAATCCATAGGCAATGTCACACAGAATAAATTTTTGGGTCTCTTGGTTGATGAGCAGCTGAAGTTCAATGAACACATTTTGCAACTGTCGAGGAAGCTTTCTGGGGGTTGTTATGCCCTGAGGGTCATAGCGTCGGAGGTTAACTTATCGGCAGCAAGGGAAGCATATTTCGCTCTGATAGACTCACAATTGCGGTATGGTATATGCTTTTGGGGAGCTTGTTCTGGATATTTATTTAGTACAATTTTTTTACTACAAAAAAGAGCACTGCGTTTTATGCTAAAGTTAAAAAGAAGAGATTCTTGTAGGCCCTTTTTTATTAGCCATAAAATCCTAACTTTGACCAGCGTGTTTATCCATGAAACAGCCTGTTTGATTCATAGGAAGTTTAAAAGGGAAATTCAGGCCACTTCAGCTTATACTGTGAGAAATACCCACACCACATCACTTCCGATACCTACTTCCACCTTAACTAAAAAGTCCATAATTTATAATGGTAGGAAAATATTTAATCATCTACCAAAAAGCATAAGAAAAATAGAAGATGAAAGAAAATTTAAAAGAGAAGTGAAAAAATTACTTTTGAACAAAGCTTATTATTCAGAAATCGAATATTTTGACGACTTATTTTAGACTGTGATTTTTTATACATTTATTTTATTTTATTTAAGACCCGCTTTAATTTATGTTTTGACCTCCTGTGTAATTTTAGTATCGTCGTTTTATTATGTATTCTTTGTATTGTCGACTTATCGGTGTTTTTAATATTGTTTTACAAGTCAGCATTATATTATGTTTTAGGTATTTTTTTTTTAGTTTTTAATTCTGCTTTGTCAATGAGATGTTTTAATCTTTTTTTTTATGACAATAAAGCTGTTTTTGAATTTGAATTTGAATTTGAATAAAGCTTTGTGAGGCTTTCGCGGCCCAGGTTTATTGATAAGGGGTTTTCATTCGGGCTTAATGGCCGTCGTAAGTTGGAATTTCTTCCCGACGTTTCGCTAGCACGCGTGGGTAGCATCTTCAGAGGTGCTTCCATTCTGGTAGCAGACTGACGCGTTACCGACCGTAAGATGTATACTAAGCACGTGGCTATTCTCAACTTTCTCTACACTCAATGGGATCTTTCTTGAGTTTTTGAGGATCGGGTTCCAGATTTGGTTGAGTTTCAGTGTTTCTTTTTCCTGTTGAAGTTCTTCGTATATTTGTGGATTTCTATAGCTTCACGTACGTGGTATCCGGAAGTCGGTGCAAGAAAAGCTTGACCTCACCAAAGAGTATTTCATGATTCCCTTCACTAAGCGCTTGTTCCGCAACTGCCGATTTTTCCGATTGTCCTAGTCTGCAGTTTCTTTTGTGCTCGTTCATCCTGGTTCCCATGGATCTTTTTGTCGTTCCTATGTATACCTTACCACATGTGCATGGTATACGATAGACTCCAGCGCTTGACAGTGGGTTCCTCTTATCCTTGGCTGATCTGATTGATTGCTGTATTTTCCTTGTTGGCTTGAAGATTGTTTTTATGTTGTGATTCTTCAAGACTGTCCCTATCCTGTCTGTCACCCGAGAAATGAAAGGCAGATATGCATTAGCCACCACTGGTTGTTCATCCATGTGGCAGTTTTGGGTTGTATGGCCCTGTCGATTTTAGATGCATTGTAACCATTTGATAGAAAGGCCAACTTGAGATGATCCAGTTCTTGCTCGAGATATTGTGGCTCGCAGATGTGCCGAGCACATTCTGTTAACTTTGTTATACTTCCATGTTTTTGCCTTGGATGATGGTTTGAGAGTGCATGCAGGTACCTGTCTGTGTGTCTAGGTTTTCGGTACACCGGCTTAGTTTTCCTCCAGATTTCTTTATGAGCACATCTAAGAAGGCGATTTCCTGGTTTTTCTCCTTTTCCATAGTAAATTCTATGCTAGGATGTTACTCGTTCAGGTGGCCTAGGAGCTGGTTAAGCTTCTCTTCCTCATGACTCCAAACCACAAAAGTATCATCTAAGTATCGAAGCCATACCGTTGGTTTGTGGTCAAAAGATTCTATAGCTTTCCTCTCGAATTCCTCCACAAAGAAGTTGGCTATGACCGGGCTGAACGGACTTCCCATGTTTGCTCGTAGAAATCGCCGTTCCACAGGAAGTAACTACCAGTGAGACATGTCCGGAAATGCTCAACTATGTCATTGGGGAAGGTACTTGATATCAAGTCAAGAAATTCTGTCAATGGCACTTTTGTGAATAGTGAGTGGAGTCCTTGACGTAAGAGCAAGTTTTTCCTACCTACATGCGGTTAAAGAAGCGATGCAAGATGTTTCGCTAAGTTGTACGTTGGTGCTCCAGGTGCACTCATTATAGGACTTAGCGGGACTTCCGGTTTGTGAATTTTAGGTAGGCCGTAGAGTCGCGATGGAAATGCTTCTGTTTTTATGATGCCTTTCTTAACCGTGTCTGTTAGGGTAGATGACCTAATCAGTTTGTTGGTATTCCGGAGTGTGGCTTGTGTGGGATCCTTCTTTAGCTTTCGGTAGGTAGATGGATCAAGGAGTTCCTAAATTTTCCGGTTGTAGCCTTCCAGTTCTTAACAGGATAGTTGCGTTTCCCTTATCCGCAGGTAGGATGATCACTTCTTCCGCTGAATTCAGGTTCCTAATTGCCATTAATTCCTTAGAGAAGTAACTGGTTGGTGGTCGAGCCTTTCGTAGAATGTTGGCCGTCTCAATACGGATTTCTTCCGCTTCCACATCAGGTAGTGCTCTGATGGCTGCTTCAGTGCTGGCTATAATCTCCTCCGTTGGCAGGTGTTGTGGAGTGATTGCGAAATTACCGCCTTTTGCCAAGACGGCTGTTTCCTCTTCGGTAAGGACTCAAATGCGACCCAAAACTGCTACACGACAAAACATGAATGAACAACCAGTGGTGGCTAATGCATATCTGCCTTTCATTTCTCGGGTGACAGACAGGATAGGGAGAGTCTTGAAGAAACACAACATAGAAACAATCTTCAAGCCAACAAGGAAAATACAGCAATCAATCAGATCAGCCAAGGATAAGAGGAACCCACTGTCAAGCGCTGAAGTCTATCGTATACCATGTACATGTGGTAAGGTATACATAGGAACAACAAAAAGATCCATAAGAACCAGGATGAACGAGCACAAAAGAAACTGCAGACTAGGACAATCGGAAAAATCGGCAGTTGCGGAGCATGCGCTTAGTGAAGGGAATCCTGAAATACTCTTTGGTGAGGTCAAGCTTCTTGCACCGACTTCCGGATACCACAATCGTCTTGTACATGAAGCTATAGAAATCCACAAACATACGGAGAACTTCAACAAGAAAGAAGAAACACTGAAACTTAACCAAGATCCTCAAAAATTCAAGAAAGATCCCATTGAGTACAGAGAAAGTTGAGATTAGCCACGTGCCGCGAAGCCCCGCCTCTCCCCCATCACAGCCACTCACACATAAATACAACTTAGGACGGGAACGCGTCAGTTTGCTACCAGAATCGGAAATGGCAGCACCTCTGAAGATGCTAGCCACGCGTGCTAGCGAAACGTCAGGAAGAAATTCCAACTTACGACGGCCATTAAGCCCGAATGAAAACCCCTTACACATTGTAATGTTAGGAAAATATCATGTATCATTACCTTGGGTTGGAGAGTATTCAACCAAATATCTTCTACAGTTTCATCTACTTCTTTGGAGTCATATTTTTATTTCAAGATACTCCAGAAGAATTCTCTTCAGCGATTCCAAAATCAAGAATTCTATTCCAGCATTTACTTATTGTGTCAGCATTAAGTTTAATCCATGCAGAAGCTAGATTCATTATTGCATATTTGAAAGTCAAACTTTTGTATTTCGAAAATCATATGTGCTATAAAAAAAAGTTGCTCTAATTGCTTTACCATTTTCTGATATCATTCTTTAATAACTTACTATTTCTTTTGTTCGTCAGGGTACCACTTCCAGATGAAGACGACTACACTCCCGTTTACGAAGCTCCTAGAATGAGGACTCCCCCTAGAGCCGACAGTCCTGATAGCGAAGAGTTGCCTTGCGAATTTTGCTCTCACATGGTACCAGCCTCTCAGTTGTGGAGGCATCAGCTTAGCTGCACCGCTGCAGCCTAATAGTTTTTAGGATTTTGTTGAACTTGGTACTACCAGGTTTCAAGTAGGTAATATTTTAGGGTCCGCTGGTACTTTTGCTCCCAATTAATAAATTTGAAACGCTGTTGGTGAAAATCCCTCAACAGCTTATTAAAGTAGTTAACTGAGAGAAAAAGTACTGGCCCTAGGTAGTTTTTAGTATTTTAAAAAGGTGCCTTTTTGAAGGATTTTAAAAATTCTTCAAATGTTGATAATATTGCCTTGAACTGCCTTCAAGTTGTATATGTGAAGTGGTCTTTTTACGCTTTGCTCAGATTTTTTTTTATATCAATATTTATGTTGTTTATGTCTTGATAAAGAGCATTGAACATAGAAAAAAAATTATTTTAAGTCTAGTGATGAAACGATTACTATGACCGTTATGAATATTAGAGGAAATATACCAAAAAAACTTTATTTATCTTAAAAGAGTGACTAAAAGTTAACATGGAATAAAAACGATGATATTGTATTCCTAATCGTTTCATCACTTCTGTTAGTTTTTGATCAATTTACGTTTTTGCTCAAAGTCTACTTATAATACTTTATTGGCTCTTTATTAGGAGTATTAGAATTTGAAATTGAAATGTTTGTTTTTTTGTATTTGCTGCATTTTATTGCTTTGGAAATTAATATTTAATATAAAAAATACATACATACAAAGTGTTTTAATTTTAGATTAAAAGGGCATGTTGCGGAAAATATGAAAATTGTTTAGTGGACTGTATGATTTGAGAGAAAATGAAATAAATGTTTGAGCCCGGTACGCACAGATCACTTACCTTTGACAAGGGTTTCTGTTGGTTCTCTGGGTTCTGGTCCAATAACTGAAGCGTGTTGACTGTAGCAGAGTACTCTGTAGCTTCTTAGGACAGTAAAATAGGGGCAGTTTCGTTGTATTGACCGAACCGTCCGATACGACACGAATTTATACGGGTCGCGTAGCGAGAGTGTGCGTTGTCTACTCTGCAGTCGAGAATATATTATTTTTAAAATCTCGGAACAAGGCAGCATAAAAATGCAGCTGCTTCTAGCAAGTGACGTGTGCGTATATGATAAACGGAAAAAGTCGCTAATGAAAAATGTAGGCACAATCGAACTTTGTAGATTGCTCTACACAAACTAAAATAGGCAAAAAGCCCTTTTGAGAGTTTCCTAAACAGGGCAATAATTGAAAAATCAGCGTAATTATAAACATTTATTTTGCCTCATAATAATACTTTTGTAACAATAACAATAAATGTATTTATTCTAAACATATATTGTTCAATTTCAATACTCATTCAGCACTTGCTCGATGTGACAGATTTTTTGTCTAATACATAATGTCAGTGCTTATTGAGCGTTAAAACTGTAACCATTTATTTGGGCTAAAAAGTGTACTTTGAGCTATTAAATTTATTTTTATTGTAAATAACATCAATACACGATTTTTTCTAATATTTTTAACAATAATTATTATATTAGATTTTTCATAAATGCATAATTTTTTTCCCATTATACATCTAAACAAGCCAAAATAATTGTTTGCTATATTTTCAAAACGATAACATCGACTGAACGTTTCTGATAAAGGGCGTTGCACACAAACGAATTTTGCATATTGGACAGTTGAGCGGACCTGAGATCGTGATCGAATGATGTTTGGTTCAGAGTGTTTCGACTGATCCTTCATAATCAAGCCTTAATTTAATTTTCAACAAAACAACTGCAACGCTCGTCTTAAATTAACTGCTTCACAAACGGAAAAGAATATATTTTCATATTTCGCAAAATTGAGCATACACAAAAATGATACAAATAGAAGTGTATAAATTCTAAAAGGTATCACAAATAAAGGAAGTACACAATATTGAATTTTTTAATATCTAATTTCTACTTTACTTTTTTAAGAGATTCAACAACCATTGTTTTATTTGGGTCTCTTTATTCTCTGTCAAATTTTTGAGACCAAGTGGCCTTTAAAGCATAAATACCAGGAAACTCTTATACTCTAAATTACTATACATATATAATATGTAGATTATTCTAATCTCTAAAATGAATTTTATTCAAAAAACTTTCGATATAAAATAATTCGTTTACAATATTACTATAGGTTTATTTATTGTTGTATTTTAATTAATAATTTTTATTTATTTTTAGGCGATTATTATTCGATTTATTCAATAAATTGATAAATAAACATATGGTTGGGTACCAGAAAAACCAATTTTTAATACAAGTTACTTTACACATTGCACACCTAAACTTAAAATACTATATAAGTTTCAAAAGACAACAATTTCCTTATAAAATATCCAATTTAACACTACAAATATTTGTAATATAATATATAGTAGGTATAAAACATTAAATCAGTCTACTATATGCATATTTTCCTATAGGTTTTTCATAAGAACCCTTAAGTAATCCATTTTGTGGAAATTCTTTTGATGCTTTATTGACACAATAATTCCTAAATATATTATAGTTGACACATTAAAATTGCTATAAGTAAATTTCATATTTTTGTGCATAGTTGATGTTGGTAATTAAAATCAAAAATGTATAGGTAAATATATCCTTATAAAATAATTATTGCACGGGAATTGATGCGGTATCAAGTAAATTGGGTGGTACGGTACATGAGCTGACGCCTAGTCTCGGTTCACTTTTTTCTGGCATCCATATCCTTGGAAATTTGACAGATTGAACCTTGGATGATGACAACACATCAAATTCTTCATTTGAAGATTTTATCTTCAAACAGTGGTTCTTAATTTCATTAGCCAAGTACACCACAAAAAATCAAGTTTTCCCATATACCTAACAAAAAAAGGCTGAAGTCCGCTACTCTGTCAAATTTCCAGAGATTGGAAACTATTATTTCTAATATCAAAATCAGGTCTTTGTAGTGATGCAAAATGCACACCTTTAAAAACGTCTGGCTACCTAAGTGGAACGAGCATATAACAATTTGCTTGCCAAGCGCCCTTAAGATCAGAGCATTTTGATCCTCCTAATATGTAAATTAATATCCAATATAAGAAAATTTCGGCATTAATGTGTTTAGGGTAAACTGCATGAGGGAGAAAAATGTTCTAAAACAAGATTGTCAATACTGTAGGGATCAAAAGCAACAATTAAATACGAAAAAAAAAACTTAATCAAAAATCCTTATACATTATATTGTAAGGGTTAGTTTATTCAGTCTTGGATAACTTACGTAGGCATAGGGAACGATAAATGCGTGGTGATTCCTATAGAAAATTCTTCACCGATCAAAATATCAATCTCAGATGAATGATTTTTCTCATAAAATCACCCTGCATACAAAAAAACATATAACGTCTTTTTTTTACCCTGTGATACAAAATATTATTGCATTGTCTTTTTTCATTTGTCTTCAGATTTGTCCACTGTGACGTATACAGGTTTGTAAAGGACTATTGGTTCCCTGAAATATAAAATGGAATCAACAAACTTGAATGAAAATTTATGAAGAATATTTCAAAATACAATACAATGAAATGTAAATTTCATTGTATTGCTACGAAATCGTTAACGCCAGAAAAACGGCGTCCGCCAGGCTGTCAAGAATCGATGGCGGAAATACTAGAATCTAGCGAATTATTCTACTTTAATCTGGAAAATTAGATTATCGTGTGTATTCTAGATTTTACAGGAAGAGATTTAGGGATATATAAGAAGGCCAGCATTGGTTTGTAATTGTAAGTTAGTTTCAGTTCGACTGTGATACGATTTAAATAGTTATTGTAAAGAGTTTAGTCCTTGAGTTAGTAAAGTAATTAGTGTCAGAGTGTTTTGTTAAGTGGAATAAATTATTGCTGTGTTAATTGGACTTTGATTTTTGGAATAAACGAAACGAACGACGAACCCAAGATTGTTGTCAGCAGGCAACCCAAAGCCGCGACATTGGTGCCAAGAAGTGGGATATAAAGGACTGCAGAGTGAAATCCAATTGCGGAAGTGTGGGGACACTAGTGTAGTGTAAAAAGTGAACACTGGGACAGTTAGTGCAGTGCAAACAGTGACAATCACAAAAAGAGACTTAACCGATCGTGTGAATTACCCCGGAAGTGACTCTATACCCGATTTAGACTGTGATAGTGAATCTTCGAGTGAGTTCTAGAAAATTCTATTTGGAAACTAAGGGAGATATCGAATTTGTGACTTCGCTGACGTATTCGGAACATCAATCGTCATTCAGAAGAAGTTTTTCGAGGAGTTTCGGGAAAATTCTAGAACATTCTATTTGGAAACCAAGGGAGATATCGAAATTGTGACTTCACCAACGTGTTTGCTGTATCAATCGACATCTAGAAAAGAAGTTTCAAGAAAATTCCAGAACATTCTATTCTAGAATAAGGCAAGTTATCCAATTTGTGACTTCACCGGCGTGTTTGAAACTTTGAGCAAAGACCAGAAAAGATATTTGAAGAAAGTTCGGGGGAAATTCTAGAACATTCTGTATATGCCTATCACGAGACAACAAGCCAAAATGGACGAACAAAAAGTTGAAGAACTCCTGCGCAAAATGTTGGAACTTCAAGAGACCAAACGACAACAAGAAAAACAAGACGAAGAAGCCAGACGACAACAAGAAAAACAAGACGAAGAAGCCAGACGACAACAAGAAAAACAAGACGAAGAAGCCAGACGACAACAAGAAAAACAAGACGAAGAAGCCAGACGACAACAAGAAAAACAAGACGAAGAAGCCAGACGACAACAAGAAAAACAAGACGAAGAAGCCAGACGACAACAAGAAAAACAAGACGAAGAAGCTAGACGACAACAAGAAGAGGCCAGACGACAAAAAGAAAAACAAGAAGAAGAAGCTAGGCGACAACAAGAACGGCAAGAAGACCTTGGAAAACTACAGAAGATATTCCAAACCATACAAGGAACTGTCGCTAACCTAGACCAGAAGATTGAAAAAGTTAAAGACGATGTGCAAGAAGTTGAACACGACGTCCAGGAAGTAAAAACTGAAGTCAAAATCGATGTTCAAGAAGTTAAAAACGACGTTCAGGGAGTAAAAGCTGAGGTCAAAGCCGATGTTCAGCAATTAAGACAAGAAGTTGAGGACCAAGTTCAAGCACTCGAAGATAAGATGCGTAGATTAGAAATACAGTCCATCAATCCAGCTAGTGTTGGAGGATTCCCCAGTATGAAGATAAAACCACCAACTTTTGACGGTTCTACGTCCTGGACCATGTATATTCGGCAATTTGAAGCTGCTGCAAATACCAACGGATGGAACGATCAAGAAAAAGCTACAGCACTAATTGTGGCGCTACGAGGACCTGCTTTAGACCTTCTTCAGTCCATTCCTTTAGTCTACCAACAGAATTACCATCATCTAAGTCAGACGTTAGAATTGCGCTTCGGAGACCATTACAGACAAGAAGTATTCAGAACTCAAGTCAAATCAAGAGTTCAAAAACCCGGCGAGAGTCTACAAGAATTCGAATCGGAAGTTAAAAGGCTAGTGAGTTTGGCGTTTCCTGCAGCTGGGGAAGACATGCAGGAATGGATGGCAGTATCTGCGTTTATTGATGGTCTCAGAGATTCGAAGATCCAGGAAAACCTAAGAATGTCCAAGTTCAGACAAAGTAGCGAAGCCCTTGTCCGAGCATTAGAACTGGAAGCAATCTTTGGTGCCTCACGACCCAGAATACGAGCAGTGTCCATTGAAGACCCAAAAGATAAACAGTTGTCAAAAGAGGATGGTAGCTTCGAAACTAAAATGAGTAATTTCATGGAGAGAATGGAGAAACTGTTACTAGAAGATAGAAAAATGGGAAACGATTCCAAACAAACACCAACCCCGAGAAACCGAGTAAAATGCTACAGGTGCCAAAAGCTTGGACACATGCAATGGGATTGTAGACTAGGGATGTCCTTTCCATCTGGGGATCATTCTCAACGCTTTTCAAGGTCTAGAGACGCCAGCCCTAATAACAAACAGGAACCAACTAGTACGGAAGGGAGGATGCTGGCTAGTAATGTCGAAGCCCCCAGAGTTGTGTACATAAAATCATTGGGCAGTCATTATAGAGGATTAAAATTCGAAGGACAAATTAATGGAGAATTGAAAACCATTACTTTTGATACGGTTGCTGAAGTTTCCATAATTAGAAGAACATTAGTCAAGTCTCGGGCAATCCAACCGCTCACTAGAAACCTGTCACTACGAACAGTCACCAGCGAATCTGCACCAATTCAAGGAGAAGCTATGGTTGAGCTCACTTTTAGATCTACCACCTTCAGACACAGAACATTAGTCGCCGATATAGAAGATGATTTTATTTTGGGAATGGATTTGATTGGCCAACATGGTTTCTCTTTTGATCCTTCCTTGAACATCCTTAAATTTGGTAATGAAGAAATTGTCCTAACAACACAAAAAGAATCCGATGCCGTTAAGATCTTGGCCACAACCCCAGTGAGGATTCCTGGAAGTACTGAGAAGATCATTTGCGGAAGATTAGAAACAAACCCTGGGTGCTGCGTTGGGCTAACACGTAATTTCATTCGAGATAAACCAGAAAGATTTCTTGTTGGAAAGACTCTAGTAAGAACAAATGGAGACATTATGATAAGAATTGCCAATGTTTCTTCCGAAACAGTAAGAATAAAGGAAGGAGACATTATTGGAGCTCTCGAACCAGTGAAGCAAATATCGAACTGTGACCTACCAGATAAGCGACATTATGTGAAATCCAAATTGGATACAGACATCTTGATGCAGACTTTGGCGAAATCATGGAAACATCTCGATCCAGATAGACTTCAAGAAGCCACAGATTTCATTTTGAAAGAAGCAGACGTATTTGTGATGGGCAATTAAACCGGACGAACCAGCTTAATTCAACACAAAATTGATACTGGATTGGCACACCCAATTAGACAACCACCACGACGAATGCCAGTAGCTAAGCAACAGGAAGTGGAAAACCAAATTGATAAAATACTTCAAGAGGGAGTCATTGAAGAGTCAAATAGTCCATGGTCCGCGCCAGTAGTACTGGTTACGAAGAAAGATGGAAGTCTTAGATTTTGTGTGGACTACCGAAAGCTTAATGACGTCACCAAGAAGGACAGCTTCCCTCTCCCAAGAATAGACGATACACTAACAACTAGAGATGTAACGTGAAAAAAAACAATCCGTTTTTTTTGTTTTTTTTTTTCAAGTTTTTTTTCATGGTTTTTTTTCAAATGGTTTTTTTTCAGATTTTGTGTTTTTTTTCTAAACTTAGCACCATATGCGCATTTTTTACTTTTTTTGCCAATTAAACTTTTCTTGGGACAAAAAATTGGTTTAAGCAGTAAGCAGTGAAATATGGATAAAACGTAAAATATTGCCTTATTCTTTATAGAAATAACATAGGAACACAACCAGTCAGAGCGAATTTCATTGGTTGAAAACAGTCAGAAACAGTCAGAAAACTAATTTCAACCAATGAAATTCACTCTGACTGGTTTGTGATTTCTGCAGAAACAGACCTATTCCTATGTAAATGAAACATGTTTTCGGGTCGAAACATGGTACATCCATGTATGAACTATCATATATCAGATCACACATTCATCATATTCATATAACATACATACTAGAACAGAACATCACTGATATAAGACACTTTCGCTGTATGAAGAATTTTCAGACTGTAACTACGTCTCCAGGGTCGTCAAATGTCCGTTTTTTTTTACTTAAAAATGAGGTTGGAGATACTCACGAAGTTTAAAATTGAATTATTTTGAAAAAAAAACACAAAAACTTGTTCTTTTTCTAGTTTTTTTTCATGTTTTTTTTTTCAAATCTGAAAAAAACCTGCTTTTTTACATTTGAATTATTTAGAAAAAAAACAAAAAAAACCGTTTTTTTTCTGTTTTTTTTTCAATGTTTTTTTTCAAATCTGAAAAAAAACCGTTTTTTACATCTCTACTAACAACTCTATCGGGCTCCAAATGGTTTTCCACCTTGGATCTCAAAAGTGGATACTGGCAAGTGGCAATACATGACGATGACAAGGAGAAAACTGCCTTCAGTACCGGAAGCGGGCTATACCAGTTTAATGTAATGCCTTTCGGATTGTGTAATGCTCCAGCTACGTTTGAGCGACTGATGCATCTTGTTTTGCGAGGCCTTACATGGAGAACTTGCCTGGTATATTTGGATGATGTCATGATTATGGGAAATTCGTTCCAAGAACATCTCAATAACCTTAAAGAAGTTTTTGACCGCTTCCGGAATGCCAACTTGAAGCTCAATCCAAATAAGTGTTTCCTATTTCAAAAGAAAGTGGAATTCTTAGGTCATGTGGTATCTGAAGAGGGCATACAAGTTATGGAAGGAAAAATAGATGCTGTCAGGGACTGGCCAAAACCACGCGACAAACATGAACTAAGGAGTTTTCTAGGATTATG